TGTTCTGTTTCCAGGGTTAGAAAGAAGTGGAATATTTAAAGAATCCGATATCCTAAGTTTCACAATTGTTTTTTTAAGTAACACTTAGTATCTCTTTTAAATGTATATTCTCAGCCTCGATGCCCATCAGATTCGCCTGGGGGAGTGTTATGAATCCTAATGCCTGGACCCCATCCGACAAATGAAATCAGAACCCCAGGAGGAGGGATGGGGGCATTGTTGCTAAAGCTTCACAGGTGCCTTTACTATCAGTCATGATGGAGAACTATTTGTCTAGATCAGAGGTGGGGAACCTTTTTTCTGCCAAGGGCTATTAGCATATTTATAAGAATATTCACGGGCCATACATAATTATCAACTAAAAAATTAGTCTGCTACATTTGGTCAAACATTTAATTGCTGAAACCGGTTTGGCTCAGTGGATAGAACGTCGGCCTGTGGACTGAAAGGGTCCAGGTTCGATTCCGGTCAAGGGCATGTATCTTGGTTGCAGGCACATCCCCAGTAGGGGGTGTGTAAGAGGCAGCTGGTCAATATTTCTCTCTCATTGATGTTTCTAACTCTCTATCTCTCTCGCTTTCTCTCTGTAAAAAATCAATAAAATATATATTTTTAAAAAACACAAAAACAAAAACATTTAATTTACTCACCCCTAATGTCTTGGAAGGAACAGGCCGAAAGATTTTGAGGGTCTTATATGGCCTGAGGGCTGGATATTCCCTACCCCAGCTTTAGATCCTCAAATGGGTGGCGATCTATCCTATAAATGGCATATCCTACACCCCACCCCAAAGAGGACTAACCAGGTTTAACTGGAGGGCAGACTCTAAAACTGCATATACTCCCAATGGACACATTCAGCTCTCCTAGAGGGATAATGCTCTGCCCTTCATGTGTGTTGACTAGTTAGACCAGCCTGTGCCCAGGGCCAATTAAATCCCAGTGGAGTGGAAGCCGGGCGTGAGCTAAACCACCGCTGAACCTCTCAGGTGATGCCCATGTGCAGCCAAGCTGAGAACCACCACGTTAATGGTGCCTGCTTTGTTTGGAAGAGGAAGGAAAGGCAAAGCTGCCCCCATTAACCCCAGTGAACGACAGTAACCTGGCAGCAGCCATCACGAGTGCTAAGCACTGGCTCTCCCCATTGAGGTTTATGGCCTTGGGCAAACAACAGAACCTGAACTTGGCATGGTGCCATCATCCCCAGCACTAATTACAGCTTAAATAATTCTTGTCAGTATGTGCATAAAATAAACGGACCTCAATTTAAGACAACTTCCCCGCTGTGTCCTGGCTAATGGATTCACAATTTACAGATCTTCACAATCATAAATATACAAGTTTTATTTTCACACAGAGGACGAGATATTTAAACCTAGTCATCTCAACATGAAAACAATTTTTAAACTAGATATTGGGTCATGGAAAAAATATTACTTACATGGTCACTGATAATAGGATAACAACATGTGCTCTATTCAATCACTAATCAATATGATTATCACTAGCATCTATCAATTTATTCATTGCTTCGTGTCATCAATTTCATTAAATCTTTAGCAGGTAGGGGAGCAAACAAGTTGCAGACATCAGTATGAAGAATGGCAGCTGAATGATAACACTATACACCCAGGACATGCAAAGAAAGGGGGTTTATTAAATAATTTGTCAAAGCAGTAAGAAGAGAAATATCCACTACTTGCACTGCTTTCTTTAGCAACTGTGTCTCCCACCAAAAACCGCATCCTCATCCACAGACAGAAAAAGAACGTGCCAGCACAGGCCATCTGCTTAAGGCTCCAGTTCTGAACCTGTGACAAAAGTAGCCTATATAATAAAAGGGTAATGTGCAGCCGGGACCGGTTTGGCTCAATGGATAGAGCGTCGGCTTGGGGACTGAAGGGTCCCGGGTTCGATTCCGGTCAAGGGCATATTGGTTGCGGGCATATTCCCGGTAGGGGGTGTGCAAGAGGCAGCTGATCGATGACTCTCTTATCGATGTTTCTGGCTCTCTATCTCTCCCTTTCCTCTCTGTATAAAATCAATAAAATATATTAAAAAAAATAAAATAAAAGGGTAATGTGCAAATTGACTCTAATGGCTGGGAACGACCTGTGGCTATGATGCACATTGACCACGAGGGGGCAGATACTCAACACAGGAGCTGCCTCCAGGAGGTCAGTTCATTTCCATAGGGGGTGCGCTGCTCAGCCAGTAGCCAGCTCACAGCAGCGGTGGCGGGAGTCTCTCTGGGGAGCAGGCCTAAGCTGTCAGTTAGACATCACCTGAGGTGTCCTGGACTGTGAGAGGGTGCAGGCCGGGCTGAAGGACCACCCCTCCAAGTACATGAATTTTCATGCACCGGGCCTCTAGTCTTTTAATAATTAAAGTAAGCTTTATTACATAAAAATATATTTCTCATGGTTTGATTTCAAAGCATTAACTAACTATGAATGAATGAATGAAAACCAATAAGGTCTTCCTTTTCTGGCTCCCTGGGACCAACCTTGGACCAGCTGGGTGATCAACAGCTATTGCTGAATATGTAAATGAGAGCAAGGGGAAGTGGCAAAGAAATCTAACCATGTTGGAGTTGGCCCATCTGGTCCAGTGGCCTCAGAAGCAAGATCTAGGGATCTCGGAAGAAGAGCCAGGCACAGGCTGAAATGGGAACCTGAGCAAAAGCACGCTTAGGACCTCTTTTTTAAAAAAATAAATAAATATGTTTTTATTGATTTCTGAAAGAGGGAGAAGGAAAGAGAAAGAAAAATTGGCTCCCTCTTGCACGCCTCCTATTGGGGATAGAGCCCAAAACCTGGGCAGGTATCCTGACTGGAATTCGAACCAGCAACCTCTTGGTTGATGTACTGGATGATGCTCAACCAACTGGGCCATACCAGCCAGTAGGACCTCTTTTGTGTAACACGATGGTGGGTACGGAGTTGGGCGAGCTGGGTGCCATGACAGAGATAAGGAGCTGACCCAGTGGTAGTCTCAGAATCAGCAAATTGGGGAGGAAGTAAGGCAGGTACCATAGCGCGAATTTCTCCCAGAGGATTACACTGTGTGACAAGGACTTTGCACAAATGCCCCTGGTTTCGTGCTCCTTGTGCAGGCTGGCCTAAGTCTCAGAGAGACCAGGCCTTGGCCATGGGCAGGAGATGCTGCTGATTCTAGGCGGATAACCTGGTATTGTACATTATTAGGAGAGGAGTAACAAAGCTAAACCCCTAGGAGAGTGGTGAAAAGAACTTTGCACCTGTCAAAGAGGAATACAATAAATGATAATAATGTGAATTTTTTGGCTGTTTGAACCAAGTGGAGGATAAACCAGAAGATTAAGCTGTTTCTAACAACCTATGGGGATCACGGTGAGGCCATGTGACCTCCTTAGACCTTCACAAATGGAGGAGTTTATAACTATGCATGAGGACAGAGCCCTATAGAAAAAGAGAAAGAAGAATTTGTGTGGAAAGATTATAAGATGTTAAAAAAAAAATTTATACTGTTGTGCCAGGCAAAACAATTCAAACATCTGATTTGCACCCCCCCTTTTCCTGACATTCAAGCCCACTTCCCTGTCCAGTGGCAGTTATTTAAGGAATATAAGTGTGGAATGCAGTGCAGCCAATAAAAAAATCACGCTGGGACCCTAACCGGTTGGCTCAGTGGATAGAGCATTGGCCTGAGGAATGGAAGGCCCCAGGTTTGATTCAGGTCAAGGCATGTAGCTTGGTTACGGGCACATCCCCAGTGGGAAGTGTGCAGGAGGCAGCTGATCGATGTTTCTCTCTCATCGATGTTTTTAACTTTCTATCCTTCTTCCCCCTTTCTCTCTGTAAAAAATCAATAAAATATATATTTTTTAAATCACACTGGGAAGGGCACTTTATGACATGTTAAAAACCAGCATATGCTGAAACTGGTTTGGCTCAATGAATAGAGCGTCAGCTTGGGGACTGAAGGGTCCCTGGTTCGATTCCGGTCAAGGACATGTACCTTGGTTTCGGGCATATCCCCAGTAGGGGATGATTCTCTCTCATCGATGTTTCTAGCTCTCTATCTCTCTCCCTTCTTCTCTGTACAAAATCAATAAAATATATTAAAAACAAAAAACAAAAACAACCCCCCCCCCAAAAAAAACCCCCAGCATATTATATGGCTCATTTTAGGAGAAATAGTTAAAAAAAAATTTATCAATAATCTGCAACATGAACCAGAATGCTAATAGTAGTCATCTCTGAATTATGAAATTAGTACTAGTTTTTCTTCTTTCTTTCTTTTTTCCTTTGTATTTTTCAAGTTTCAATAACCATGTGTTAATTTTCCAATCAGAAAAAAGCTGTTGTTTTACAAGGATTCAAGTTAAACATCGTGCAAACCATTTTAGACAATAAGGTCTTGATGAAAATGGCCACCACAGTACCTCCGATTTTAGGTTGCTGACAAGGAGAGGGTCCTAAACTTTTCCATTGGGGTTACTACCCACTAGGGGATGCTAACTACTGGGGACCCTGAACTTATTGGGGAGAGAGTACTCTTGCCATCTACATTCTCCTTTCCTCTGGAAAGTTCCAGAAACTCTGGTGAAGGCACTGAGCTGGGAAATATATGTTGAATGTGCACATATATCTGATTATATTCATTCATCTCTATAAATAAATGTTAACATGAGAAGATATGTGTTCAACCCAATGATCAGCAATCAAATCCTGGAGTTCAGGCACCCACCATCCTCTCAATCCCCAGTGACAATCACTCCAGGTCACAGAAATTCCTGCACATAAAAATGAGAAGAAAAACTAGACAACAAAATAATCCAGAAAGGAATCCCAGGACACTAGCCCTCAGAAGTCAAAGCCTGAACTCTGAGGATCCAGGCACAGTTCTTGCTGCTGGCCCTGGACACCACAAGGGCCTGAAAAGTACTATGGCTTTCAGAGCCCAAAGGCAAGAACACGGTATGGCATGGGGCAGGGTGGGTAGAGAGTGCTACTCACGCTGTCGTTGCTTCCTTTGTTGTCCTCATACTTGGTTTCTATATGAATGGAGAATTTTGGCAAGAAGGAACACTGTGGAAAAAGAGAAGTTTTCATTAGCGTAAGGCTTTTTCTCTCTTTGCATCTTCAATATAGGCTCTGGATGCTCCTCTGACCACTTGCTTGGGAACACTGTTTGCAACCAGAAAGGCCCAGATACTAGGTCAATATCCAAATTCAGACAAGAAAAGCCGCCTTTGGCAATGTGAACACAAAATTTCTTCCAGAAGTCAGGCTGGAGAGAATGCCCAGCAATGGAAGGCAAGAGCCATGCCCCCGGCTGGAGAGAAGCGAACACTGAATCAGAGGCAATTCCAGCTTTGGGTGCCTGCCTTTGGGCAACAGCGATCACTGCTGGAACCCGGGGCCCCAGTCTCACCCTTTTATAAACATCCATATAAAGGTAGGCAGGAGGCATAGCAGAACCTTAAGATCATTCATTACTGAAGTCAGAGAGACCTGACTTTTAGTTTGGGTCTATCACTTGATAGCTATGTGACTTTGGACAGACAAGTTGGTGAACTCTTCTGAACCCTAACAGTATTAAAATACGGATGCTAATTATTACTTAAGAGTGACGTGAGGGTTGAATAAAATCCAGGGCATAGAGTCAGCATTGAGTGTGAGGCTACATAAAAGGCGGCCCGCCCCTCCTTCTGACGGCACAGGAGAGAGGAACCCCGAATGCTCACCGCCCTCGTGTCCCAGTTTCACTGAGTTACATTCTATGGATTCAGTGAGATTTTAAAGATTAAGGTAGCTTAATAAAAAAATTAAAGTTTTTAAAAATTAATTTCAGAGAGAGGAAGGGAGAGAAACATCAATGAGAGAAACATCAGTCAGCGGCCTTCTGTAAGCCCCCTACTGGGGATCGAGCCTGCAACCCGGGCATGTGCCCTGACCAGGAATCAAATCTGTGACCTCCTGGTGTATGGGATGAAGCTCAACACACTGAGCAACACTGGCCAAGCCAACAAGAGGATTTTGATGGATGTTGATGTAACCTTCCCCCTGCTGGCACCAACCTGGCATTAACTTTCTTGGCTACTGGAAATGGGATTGAAGACAATTGAGTAAAATGACCCAGCAACTCCACTGCAGGTTTAGGGTATAATAAGAGTTGGACCGATCCACTCAATCTCCATAGCACTGGCCTACATTCTAATTAATCCATCCCAGGAACAAGGTACTATTTATTATTACCCTGCTCTAAAGAGAAGGAAACAAAGGCACAGAGAGGTTAAGAAAATGGCTCATGATCACACAGCCAATGAACAGCTCTCAAAGTGGGGTCTCTGAACCGTTAGTAGTAGTAGCATAATAGTAGTGGTAGTAGTAGTAGCAGCAGCAGCAGGCGCCTGGAACTCATTAGAAATGCAAATTCTTGGGTCCAACCGACTCACTGAATCAGAAACTCTGGGAGCCCTTTTGTATTTAATGAGCCCTTCTGGGCCTACTGATGCACACCCAAGTGGGAAAACCGCCTCACTATTTCATGCATAGGAAGTAAACAGAGATAACGCATTATCTAAAATCTGGAAGTCCATAGTACCCATCCTCACCAGTGTACAGATGGCTCCCTTTCAGCCCAGTGAAGACCCCCAGTCATCTGTACAATAAGGCAGGGGCCTTGGATGTGCTGCTGAAAATTCTCCTGATGCTACACGCCTGTGTGATTTGGCATTCGTCTGTCTCAGTCTGATGAAACAAGCAAGATGAACCGTGACTAAGGAAACTCAGAACCAGACAATCCCAGTAATTGCCTTTATGGAGAACGTAGCCCTGCAATTTCATTCATTGACACCTTCCCTTGCAGTCATCTCTCCAACCTCTCACTCTATAGCTGCTGCCCTCACACCCAGGCCCAGGGGGTTCCAAGGAGGGGCTGCTCATTGGGAACCGAGACCCTGAGGACTCAGCGGCTTGAAGCATACAGCAGAGCTCTCCATCAACCTGGGGAGATGCACCTGCCCGAGACAACAAGCCTTCAGGTAAACAGAATTGTCCCTTTTAACCCATAATTCACATGAGGGTCAATCCAACGTGAGTACAGTACCAGCTGGCGAGAGAACAGAGCTGTCAGCATAGGGACTGGGCTGGGTGCATCGGAGTGGAACCCCACAAGGATTTTTTATTGGTTGAACCTCTAAACCATTTACCTAAGGTAAAACAAATGAATCTTAGCATTTGGGTATTGAACCCGAATAGGAAAATAAAAACTCTTATGCAAATCAGCAGATGTTATTTTTGAGTGAGGACTTGGGTTATTTTCATATTAGAATGGCAAGGCTGCCAAAGGCTGTGAGTGCACCTGGCAGGCGAGGTGGTGAGAGGACCAGATCCGACAGGCCACCTCCAGGCGGGTCAGCATTTTTCTCCTACTGCAGTGGTTTGGGCCAGATAATTCCCTTGGGAACTCAGTGGCCATTACTCGGAGCCCTGGAGAGTGTACCTGTCTTAAGCTAAAAATCAGGTGTATCTATGGCTTGGGGCCTATTTAGAGCTGTTACTAAAACTTTTCCATTAAGATATCCATGATGAGATATCTTAATTTCTGCTTCCCCATGCAGGTTAGCATCCCTAAAAATAGGCTCACTGATTCTCATGGAGCCTTTGCTCTCAGGAGTACAGGAGAGAAAAAAAAGTTGGGAACTCTGACATAACTAGAGCAAAGTGCAAGAAGAGAGACATTGGGCGTGTCACCAGTGGCTAAAACTGGACATCTAAGGGATTCAGGAGACTCATGTGCTCTATGGCACACTGAGAGGTTCAAGTCCCATTGGGCCACAACAACATGAAGGACAGACTAAAATACTCCTGTTGACAGAGTTCCCAGGTAGACCCCAAGATTCCCAGCATCTGGGATACAGATCCTGTATAAGTCCTCTCCTTAAGTGTGGACAAGACCTAATAATATGGTATAGCAGCTCATCTGATTAAATTATTAAAGTGATTAGATTATGCTACATTATATGACTTGTATGTTTGTTTTTAAAAATATATATATATTTTTTTTTTACTAGAGGCCTGTGCATGAAATTCATGCACAGGTAGCGTCCCTAGGCCTGGCTGGCTATCAGGGCTGATTTGGGCCTTCCAACTGCTGGCTTGGGCCTTTCTTCATTCCATACTGCTCCTTGGTGGTACATCAAGTAAGCAAATGAACTCCTGGTCTCCCAGTCAAACAACTGAGGGGACAATTTGCATATTAGGCTTTTATATATATATAGATTGATTTCAGAGAGGAAGGAAGAGGAAGAGAGAGATAGAAACATCAATGATAAGATAGAATCATTGATTGGCTGTCTCCTGCAGGTCCCTCACTGGGGACTGAGTGCGCAACCTGGGCATGTGCCTTGACCAGGAATTGAACCATGACCTCCTGGTTCATAGGTTCACATTCAACTACTAAGCCATGCCAGCTGGGCTGTGAGACTTGTTTTTTTCATAAAAGCAGAGGTTCCCCTGTTGGTTTTGCGGAAGTAAGCTGCCATGTCTAGAAGCTGAGGAGCTAAGAGTGATCCTGGAGGCCAGCCAACTAGAAAACAGGACTTCTTTCCTACAACTAAGAGGAACAGAACCCTGCCAACAGCCAGTGAACATAGAAGAGGACCCTATACCTCAGATGAGCTGGAGACATTGCTGACACCTCAATTTCAGCCGGGTAAGGTTCTGAGCCAAAGACCCACCTCACTTGGGCCCCAATGGAAATGTGAGATGATAAACTTGTGATGTTTGAGGTTACTAAATTTGTGGGAAATTTGTTATACAGCAATCGAAAACCAATACAACACTCAACCTCCAGAGTCTAACCACTGCTTTCTTGCCAAATCTCCCATCTGGCTCATTTGAGTAAAGTATACTCACTTTGAGGTTTCACCACCTCCAGGGCAATGGAGAATTTGTACTCTTTTTAACTTAGTAGTTTCACTTGTTATGTCGTCTGCTTTATTGATGGCCACTGTTTATTGTCCCGGATGACATTTACTAGTAACGGATACTACTGAGCTTGCCATTAGCTGGCGTCCAGGTGCAGCAGCGTGTGGCTAGCCCACAGGGAGGAGGTGGTTCAGTAGAAAAAATATAGGTTTTGAAGTGAAGCTGACTTTAGATCAAAGCCCAGCTTCTTTTCTCACAAACTGTGTGACTTTGGGCAGGTTCCTTAATCCTCTTGAGCTTCAGTGTTCTCATCCATAAAATGGAGACAATACCAACCTCACAGCTGTGGGGTGAGGATTAAATGATATAATGCATGTCCAAGCCCAGGCAGTGTCTGCCTGAGCAGTCACTCGAGAAATGTGGGCCCATCCCGATGTACCCCTTCCCATGAATGAGATCCCACAGGCTACCTGGGGGACAAACAGAGCTGGGGTGGGGGAGTGCCTCTGCCGAGTAGGTGTGAGGATCTGTAGGGAGGCTGTGGGCTTGCTGGGGCGGAGACGACAGGACACCTGCTTGGTCCTTCCTGACATGGGTGGTGGCCAGGACACAGAGCTTGCTTGCCTTCAGCATGGCTCTGGCCCCTGAGCTACTCTGTTGTTGAGGACGTCATCACATCTTCCAAGTCCACCCTCTCATTGTCCTCCTTTTCCTGAAGGGTTATCAGTTCCTTTTTCTGCACAGCAGCCCTCTCCCCTCACCCCTCTCGGCACTCTCTAGACTCCCTGCCAACTTTGTGCAGGGAAACAAGCATACCCCCAGGATCTCTGTGTTCTTTCTTTTTTCCTAGATCTGAAGGCTTTCTGCCTGCTGGCTCACCCAGCCTTATTATGAAAATTGAAACTCAAAGAAATTTAAAAGCAGCACTTAAAAAAATCAGCATAAAAAACACACAACAGCTTTTGGGAGCTGTGGGGTGGAAGACCCTGCTGCCAGGCAGAGGCTGGGTGGTGACTGAGCAGCATGATGAAGCAGGGGAGAGGCAGGGAGGTGCCCTCGTCCCCTGGAGCCTGGGGGACAGCATGAGTCATTTCAGCTCCTCCCCAGGGCCCACCGTATCTAAACTCTTTCTAATGAAAAATTTTTCTTTCTGT